CTTCCTACATTATCAGGCTTCCCTCCATCTGATATGGCAACTGTTAGGGTTCGTATATGGTCAGCTACCACTCTGTAAGCCATGTCTATTCCTCCTTCATCTTCAGCACCTACTTTGCCACTATAGGGTCTCACACCTGTTTCCTAAGAAGAAAATATGATATGGTAATTGAAATACACAAATAAATGAAATGCAAACAAACTCATAAGATTAAAATAACCTTAAAATGGTATTGCTAATACTGTGCAGATTTTCACAGAGAACTGTTTAAGTGAAGAGGTTTGTAATAATAATAATAATGGTGGGATTAACAGTGGATTCCACAGAGCTCTTCTTCCACTGGATTCCAAGTAGACCCCTTCACAGTTCCCTGCGCCATCTTGAAAGGTAGCCATGCCTTTGCATCGAAGCGAGACAAACAGTGAGCATGCAATGATAGAGACATGTGAATAATTATCCAAGGTGTTAAAAAAGGTCTCTATCATTACAAGCTCAACATTCGTCTTGCTGCAATGCAAAGGCACGGCTAGTCCTTTCAAAATGGTGCAGGGAACTGTGAAGGGGACTATTGGAATTTGAATACCGGTCTTTTCGAACCAAAGTCTTTTCGATCCCGGTCTTTTCGAACCATGTCCTGGTCTTTTCGAACTACCTATATACACTTTCGATCCACATACATACACATTTGATCCAATATAGTTGTGAAATATTTTATAGAAGTTTAGTGTTTTCTTTCAGAAATATTACAGAAATATCACAGAAGAAGTGAATTAATCCAACTGAGTGAACCAAGTATCGTGTGTGATCGTGTGTGATATGTGTTAGTATCGCTTACGAAGTCAATAAGTTAGCCCCCATAGTCACTTCCAACATAAAGTCTTTAGCCAAGAATATCATGAAGGAATATCATGAAGAAGTCCAAAACTTTAGAAGCGAATGATTACTGTTGTGTGACAAGCGTGTATGACAATTAGCGTGTGTGTTGTTATTGACTCGTCAATGAAACCGGTAAATCTTCTATTTGGTAACGAGTTATTTATTGATTTTTGGAATCTTCTTCAAAAACTTTTTTATATTCAAGATGCTTTAAAATACCTTTCAAAAAAATAGAGTAGGGGAGCGAACATCGCGAATGAGTTAAAAAAAGTCTGTAAAAGACGTGAACGAATAGATGTTGTGTGACGTGTTACATGTGAAACTTGTGAATGAAACGGGCAAACTATCCGATTTATGTAAGAAATATTTGCTTGTTTGCCCAAATCTTTCTGCAAAAATTTTTTTTTATTATCCAAGAAGCTTTATAATACCTGTCAAACGAATAAAAACAGAGAAACATCACAAAAGAATAAAGAGAAAACAGATAATTCACGAATTAAAGGAGCAATACATAACACAACACATTTCATATACACATACATTAGAAAAAGCAGTTCATGATAAACATAAAACCAGTCTTATTAAGCAAAAAAAGTTTCATATACGCATTTTATAATATATTTTATATTAAACTCACGGCAAATAAAGTAGGGGAAACATCGCGAAGGAGTTAAAAACTCAAAGTGCTACTACGACGAAAATCGCTCAAACTTGGATTCAGCTGAAACTTCCTAAGAATACTCTTTAAAGGTCCAATAATCACTGTATGAAGTGTTTTCTCGATATTCAGGACGAAAGTATGATATTTTTACGATTATTTTTTGGAGACTGTGACGTCATACACTCAACATCGAACATCCCTCCATACATTTCTTTGTAGTTTATGATCACAATATTAGTAGTAAAG